ATTGCCTGGAAGGGGGCAGGCTAGAGGATTATCATAAGGCACGAGATAAAAGAACAATGATAATTTGCAGTTCAATATCGAAAATTAGATTCTAATTTGTTCTCATCCTATGTGAAAGAACATTAGCTGGCGTTCATACTGGAGTACAAGTTGCAAGAAGTTTGAGTGGGATAACGTAACGTAGGCCTTAGTGTATTTACTTTATCCTCCATGATTAAGACTAAGATTTAGTCAACCTCTTGAGATCAATAATTTTAATTGGTTTTACATGCAATAACTCTTCAAACCTCTGCGAGGATTTTCTATGTTGCTCATTTCTAGTTAGAACTCCCACAAACTTTTGTAATAGATAGCTTCTGCCTTTCCCTGCATCTCAACGTTAGATCAACTGCACTACACCACAATGAAAATATTGTCCTTTTCTGTATAATTCTAATTTAGTTTTATTTGAAACAATATCATCAAGCATGATTTTTGTATTTTACGTGTCAAGAACATTACAAAGGTTAGGAGAAACATTTCTGTTAGTCACTGATGAAGCCTCTTATGAACAAGTTTCTCACGAAGAAATTAAATTGGCGCAAATTAAGGACTACTAAGGTTTTTTAAGGAAGTATGATGAAAGGAATCTCAAAAACATTGGTTGCTTGAACAATTCATTTGATTGAAATATTAGTAAATTAAGACCCAATGAAAGCAGAGAACTAATTTTTCTTTGCTTTCACATTTTCCTCACAAATAAATCACTTCTTCACTACTTACAACGTGTTTGTATTTGTCGCTAAGTCCTTCAGAACTGCTTCTTTGCGGCGGTTCAGGTGGCACTGTTTTATCGTCATCTTGACTCCTCCTAAAAAGTCACTAAAATTCTTTGGATTTTTTCAATTTTCTCTGGTAGCTGAGCAGTTGCTCCAAGCAAGATCTGTAGGCTACTTCAATTCAGAATTGGCATTACTTCGAACTACTGGAGCTACTGCTGCAAAAAAGGTTTGGTGCAGAACTCGTTGACAATCCCGAAGTGCATTGCTCATTGTCGGAGTCACTGAAAATGTCCGTTGTGCTCAACAGATTCAAGCATTAGTTGTGAAACATAAACCTCAAGAGAGAAATAAACAAACAGAGTACTTACGTGCTTGTTTGATAGAGATTGTGATCGTGTATATATTCGATAACATCATCATCTAAGCAGTACTTTACAGATTCGCCACGGCGTATGGCAGTTCTGCAGTAGGCGAGCGCTTAGATGTGTCCACATAGTAATTTGGGAAGAACCTACCTGATTCTTGAACATCTGAGATCATTGGGGAATGTTTCATCTTCTATCACATAGATATTTTTCTGAAAAATTCCAAATGAATTCAACAACTCACACGAATAAATAAAGAACCATTTTTACACGGGTTTTGGGAATTATCACTCTTCGCTCTCATTTTTCCTTTATTAACTTACTTAGATCTCATTAATTACATGAAAATGAATGATTTTTCTCTTCCTTGTGAAAAGATTTCAATTGAAGAAAGATACATTTGATTATTTTGATTTTCCATAAGTGGTGTTTAACGTATATCTATTCCTCCTTATAAACTTTCATATATAATAAAATTATTTAAGAAAATAGAGAAAATTATAAGAAAAG